CTTGAATGGAAGAGATGAGGAATGGGAGCAGGAAAAGCCTGGAGCTGATGAAATTACTGTCAAATTCCTGACCTTGATTATGGTTGAAGAGCCCATGAGTGCTAATTATATTATTATAAATACATAAAGTGGAGTGAAATACATAAATGACCAATAATATGAATGTATCATTAACCAAGGATTAGGATTAGCCCACTTCTATACTCTCAAGGAATGAAGCATTGAAAGGTCATTAATCTGAATCCACCAGCCGTTCTGAGGGAACAAGATGTGGCAATATGCTTCCATAAAGATTTACAGGCTTGGAAACTCTCTATCTGTATGTCTCTATGGGTTTGACTCAACTAGACAACAATGAATTTACACCTGAGGATCAGTAAAAGCAAAGCTCCTTCTAGTATGCAGCAAACATGAACAGAAAGATATGTGTAGGTGCTCAGAAGGGAAAGGAGAGAGGGGCACAGAAAAAAGAGGATGGGGGGAAATCATCAGGATAACTGAATTTGGTGTCTGGAGAGGGGTGAAGCAATGGGAAAGGCTCAACTGAGGCTTGAAAAGATGGGGCGATGATAGGCATAAAGCAATAGGAAGTGGTTATATAAAATATAATGCACATGAATGACTGTGTGGGGCACAAAGTGCGCGTACAAAACATGATGCTTGTGAGCAATTATATGCAAATGAATTTTTAAAAGAAGAGAAAAAAAAGGAAAGAAATGTGAAAATTATACACTGTAGTCACCTGTAACATGTAATTCTGAGGAAGCAATGTGGAGATTCATGGGGTGGGTAGAAAGTTCACATCAGTCTGTAATGTTGTTTTCTGCGCCTCCTTATTTGTTTGAAAGACTATATAATTAAAAATATGAGATTAAATTCACTTCCTAAATATATACCCAAAATACCTGAAAGCAGAGGAACTATCCAAAGGGAGGTAGTTCCAATCCACCAGCTGCTCCTTGGGAGAAAGATGAGTAATCTCCTTCTGTGCAATTTACAGACTCTGAAAACTCACAGGGGGATCAGCTAGGAGTCAGTTCCAAAAAGAGAGCAAAGACAGAGAAGGTTCACTGCAGGACTAGTCACAACAGTCCAAGGGTGGAAACAGCCTAAATGTCCATCAACAGAGTAACAAATAAACAAAGTGTGGGACATACATACAATAGAACGTTATTCAGCCAGAAAAGAGAAATGACATTCTGATACACATTACAACATAGCTGAACCCTGAAAACATTATGCTGAGTGAAATAAACCAGACACAAAAGGACAAACCTTGTACAATGCCAGTTATGAAAAATATTTAGAGTAGACAAACGCATAGAGACGAGAGTTTATTGGTAGTTGTCTGGTGGGTGGGGAGGTGGGGAGTTTTTCTTGAGGAGTGCTGAGTTTTTGTTTAGGGTGGTGGGAGATTCTGGGGATAGATAGTCATAATTATTGAGCAGGAATTGTGTATTTAAAGCAGAAATTTATTATTATTTATATATGTATCTATTATTAAGATTTTAATTTTAAATGTTGGATTCAATGCATTGTAAAACAACAAAACACACCCTTTCGTGGTAGGGAAAGTTTCTTTCCTAGAACAGTATATGCTGAGAATTGCAGAGCAGCTGACAGAGGCAGTGTCCGTTAGCTGGAGAGGGACCGAACGGAGCAGCCATGGAGGGTCAGTACTGGCTGCTGCTGGAGGCCAATCCTGAGGTCACTTACCAGTTTTGTAAACAATTAGGTCTACAGCCTAACTGTCAATTTGTGGATTTATATGGAATGAATCCTAAACTTCTTAGCATGGTATCAAGACCAGTCTGTGCAGTGTTCCTTTTCTTCCATATTACAGAAAAGTATGAAGAATTGAGAACAGAACAGGAGGAGAAAAAGAAAATCTCAGGGACAGAATGTTACATTATGAGCATATTTCATGAAGCAAACAATCACCAATGCCTGTGGATCAATTGGACTCACCCATGCTATTGCTAATAAAGACAAGATGAAATCTGAAGATTTGGATCGACTTTGACAAAAAATTCTGAAGGAGTTTATGTCAATGAGCCTGAAGAAAGAGCCAGCTACCTGAAGAACCATGATGCTACTCGAGTTACTCACTAAACCGGTGTTTGTGAAGGTCAGACTGAGGCATAAGCTATAGATGAGAAAATAGATCTTGATTTGGTCATATTAGTTCATGTAGATGGCCATTTCCATGAACTAGATGGACGGGGATAATTTCCAACTAACCATGGGAAAACTAAAGATGAGACTTGCTTGGAGGATGCATAAAAGTTTGCAAGAAATTTATGGAATGTGACCCAGATGAATTAAGATCTAATTTAATTGCTCTTCATGCTGCCTACCTTGTTAAGAACAGAAAACCAAATACTGTATTATTTCTAACAAAAATTGTTTCTGCAGTCATACACTAGCTCAAATGTTTTGATATTTTCATTAACATGAATGACTAAACTTGATGTGAATTTTTTAAAAATTGCAAAAACAACTATGAGATATCCTCTTACTCCAGTAAGAATAGCAAAATTTAACAGAACAGCAAAGCAACAAATACTGGAAAGGTTGCGGAGAAACTGGAATCCTTATTCACTGTTGGTGGGAGTGTAAAATGGTGCAACCACTGTGGAAGGCGGTATAGCGCTTTCTCAAAAAGTTGCAAATAGAGATACCATTTGACCCAGCAATTCCACTACTGGAAATATACCCCAAAGAGACCATAACTGCCACCCAAGCAGATATATGCACACCATGTTTATCACACCTTTGTTCACAATAACAAGGAGTTGGAAACAACATAAGTGCCCATCAACAAACGAATGGATAGAGAAGCTGTGGTATATTCACACAATGGAATACTATGCTGCATTAAAAAACAAGGAACTCATGCAGTATTATTCAAAACGGGTGAACCTGGAGGATATTATGTTGAGTGAAATATTTCAGTCGCAAAAGGACAAATACTGCATGGTGCCACTGTTGTAAAACAGGACTGATATCAGGGTTGTGGGGAGACTGAGAAAGATCGGTAAAATAGTGTATACTGCATTGAAACAGATGAGGGAGAAAACTGTTTAAAAGGGATATGTGATTGGGTATTTTTGTCATGACAGGAGTCCAGAACAAAGGCTGCATAGTGGAGTGGACCTGGGAGGAGGGATTGTAAAACAATGAAAGAATTTTTCTTTTACTTTTCAAAGAGAAGAGTGTACTGGGGGGAGAGTTGGGAGGGGAGAAAAGTGCAACAGTGAATGAATGGAAATCCAAGTCTGTAAATTTTCATTGAAACTAATAATAAAAAAAATTGCAGAGCAAAACTGCCACTGTGCTCTGCCTCCCTGTACTATCTTTTGGTGACAAATATGTTTATTTGTTATTATTACCTTATAACAGCAAATAATTATATTTTATATTTCTTTATTTAAATATATATTTTAATTCATTTAAGTATTTTATATTGTTACTTTTATAATACTGTAAAAACATATGCAACAAATCATTTGCTATTTTAACATTTTTAATTTATTCAATTCAGTGACAATAATTATGTTTATCATATGTGCCACCATCCCCATTATTTGCACCCAATTTTTCCCATCACCCTTTACTACCATGATTCCCTAAGCAATAAGTTCCCAATTCCCCTCCAACACACTCCCTCTGGTAATGTTTAGTCTCTGTATAGCTAACTAGCCTAGATAGTTCATATAAATGGGATTATACAATATTTTTCCTTTTGAGTCTGGTTTATTTCACTCAGCATGATGTTTTCAAGATTCAGGCACACCATAGAACTTCCCCATCAGAACTTTGTTTTGCCTTATGGTCAATAGTATCCTTTTGAATGGATGCTCTACAGTTTGTTTGCATGTGTTTGTCAATCCCTCTTTGAAAGAAGACAGGACATAGAGGAAAAGGAAGCTGAAGCACAACTGGCCACTTCAACCCCAGGCAGACAACAATCTGTGTCCTGCAGGCAACTTCCAGGTTCAGAGGTCAGCCACAGGCCTGGCCAGGGACTCAAATAAAGAGGCCTTAATCACAAAGCTTCAGCTGGTAAATTCCCTCAGAGACTGAATTTTTTTTCCCCTGATGCACATGAAAGCCACCTTTGCACACTTTCCATATCCCCCAGCCTTGAGATGATTGTTTTTGCTTAAACTACTTGTTTTCTAAACCGGTGGACGAGGAAATAGAATAATACTGAGACTAAAAGCCACAGCACTCAGCTACTGTGTTGTCTGAATCAGTAAGAAGAGTCACTTTGTCTGACTTGTTGGAAGGTATGGCAAATACAAGAACTTTCCACTGAGATGATCATTCCAACCCTGAAAATACTTGGGTGGACTCAAATGACATTTAGATTCTCGTTCATGGTCTGTACGAAGCTCCCATGTAGATGTCTACAAGACCTGTTTTCTGCTACAGAAAACTCAATTTAATATAAATCTAGATTATAGCCATAGACCATGTGGATTAACAATGAACAAATCCAGGTTTTATTCCAAGCCATCCTTGTCTATACTAGCAAAATTATTAAAATAATTCAGATTATGTCTTCTCCTTCTACCTCCACCAAAAGAAATGTAAGCAAAGCAAAATAAAACTACATTAACCAGATGGTTTATAAACCCTCCCCACATCTGGAATACAACTAGATGCACAGTGTTGATACAGTACGAATGGTGCCTAATACCTCAAATTCTCCACCATTAAGATGGTGTTACTTTTCTACAATGTAAGACTTTACTATATTGTCATCAATTACAGTTTTTTAGTTCCTATACAAATACCACTGTCCTCATCAAGCTAAGTCTGATCAGTCTGTTTAAATCAAAAGTCCATCAGCAAAGATGAAAAAGGCCTCTGAACAATGCATCACTATAACTGTCTGAAACACAGCTTCCACTGCCAAAAGTGATTGCGAGCACACAGCAGTGAGGGCCCAGTCTGGGGACACAGGATCCTTTAAGGACGGCATTTCCACGTACCTGGGGGGCAGACGCACTCCGATGGAGCTTCTCGACTCTTCCGCAGCTTCGCCAGTCCGTCTAATTTCTAAATAAGGAAGGAGGGAAAACGAAGGTGAGTCTCAGAGAGGAGAGAGATGGTTGTTGTTAGTTGGTGATACCTTTGGTTATAACTTATTATGCAACATACAACAGCTATAAAGTAAATAATATAAAATAACACACAATAAAGCATACGATAACATTAGCTGACCCTTCAGAAGGTTTTCAGAGGCTGTACAAGAGGAGATTGCCCATCTGTCTTTCTCCTGTGGAACCACTTAGCAGCAGAACTACTTACGGACCAAACCACCAAAGCTCCCTAAATAAAATTTACATATGATATATAAACATATTAGAAATTAATTGATGATATATAGAACATTATGTATAATCTAATCCTGTGCCACCTGTATGATCCTTGATATACTTAATATTTTTGTAACCATTGTGCCAGTCCATGTTAATGAGGGTTTTTCTCCTTTTCATTGACCCACCACTTTACTAAACACGGTGTCCTTTTGTAGTGAGGGATAACAGTGAGAAAAAATATATAGAGATTCATAAAAAAGAAACTTATCTGGAGGATTTGCAGTGGGGGGTGTTGTTTTCTCAAATACGTTTTCAAAGTTCATTAAGTTCTATAGATGATTTTAGAATGAAAGAAGAAACAAAAATTAAAATGGAAGTAATCTGAAAATAAAGAGGCAGATGTCTGTGTTGTTAGAACATTTTCAGAAAGAGCATCTAACAAACCAAGAAACACCTGTTTGACCATTAAGTATGAGTGAATAATGCAGAGTAGAGCAAATCAAGTCTGAGTGATGCCCAAAGAGAAACTGGCCCTTTATGTAACTTTTGTGATTCATGGTGTCACTGCTTCCCTTCAGCAACCCCTGGCAGCCACTGCTGGGCCCCGGTTGTCAGAAGAGCAAGGCCTAATCCACCTGAGAAAAGCATTTCCCTTCTTTCTCACCACTGAGGTAATTGCCCTAGAAAAATTGGTCTAACCAAGTTGAGACAACTAGAATCTCCACACATGCCCAGTTTTGTGCTAGACTTGGGTTACAGGAAAAGAATTAACAAAAAAAGCTGAAAGCCATAGCTATTAGATGGTGACAGTGTTTGCATGTATACCTCCACCTGATTCCACCACCGAGCCATCCTTGATACCTAAATGACTGTCCTCTGGTAACAGATACGAGAACACAAACCTGGCATAAGGAAATAATTATGCTAAAATCCTAAATCAATCTAGATTTAGGAAAATGAAGTGATTGGGTTATCATCCAAAGTCAAAGCAGGATTCAAATTCTGATAAGTCTACACCAAGGACTAATTCTAAGGGGGGAAAAAAAAGATACTTCTGGAAACAAAGCAAAGTACACCATCAACATGTGAGCAGTGCAACTCTACCATCAGCACAGGTACATCAGGCTCAAATATAAAAAATGTTATTTTCAAAACATTGTTTTAGAGGACATGGAAAGAGTGTCTTCCTTCTGCTCCCTAACTCTAACCTGAGACTCAGGGACCTTAAGTCCTTAACTTCCAATCCTGGGGTTTTCAAACCATCCATTTTCCAAAACCTCTTCAGGGCTCTAGCTTCATATTTAGATGAAGCAGTCTGGAGCCCAAAATTTAGCCTCAGAATTCCCCACCTCTACAAAGCACTTAAGGAAGCCTGGTGATGTAATGTGAAATGTGTCAGACCACTAACCGGAAGGTCAGCAGTTCAAGTCCACTAGCTAATTGGTGGGAGAAAGAGGGACAGTTTCCTCCCAGATTTATAACCTCTGAACCCATTGTAGGGTGAGACTTGACTTGATAATTGTGAGGTTTTGGTTTTTGACAAAACACTTTTTTTTTTTTTTGGCTTTTTCTTTCCCTTTTTTTTGAAACCTAGGGAAGCAGGTTCCGAGAACAAAACACTTTTTAAGTTCTACTCCTACTGACCATCCTCGAGCCTCACTCTCTGAGCTACTCAGGCAGAAAGGTGATACTGAATGAAAACGGTGTTAAGTTAGTTAGTAGGACAGGAGGGGAAAACATCGTTTGCCCAGTCTCTCTTAGTGAAACTGTTGAAAGAACTTTTAACAAAATATGCAAATTAGGGAGGATAGAAGGAGAATTGATGTCTTTGAGCTGTGGTGCTGGAGAAGAGTATTGAATGTACCATGGACTGCCAAGAAAACAGATTCATCCTGGAGAGGGTTAAACCAGGCTGCTCCTTGGAGGCAAGGATTCTGAGGCTTCGTCTAACATACTTTGGGCATGTTGTACGGAGAGACCAGTCCTTAGAGAGGGACATCATGCTTGGGAGGGCCAAGGGACAGCGCAGGAGGGGAAGACCCTCTATGAGGTGGATTGATTCAGTGACTGGGGTAATTGGGATGGGTGTGTCAGAGGCAGTGCGATTGGCTCAGGATAGAGTAGAGTTTAGAGCTGTTGTACACAGGGTCGCTATGAGTCGCAAGCCACTCGACAGCACATAACAACAACAACAACATGCAGATATGTGTTATTAGGTGTAATTGTGCTACTCCATGAACAGCAGATGGAAACCTTGTCTTGCCCTGAAGTATCCTCACAATCTCACATGGCTAAGCCTATTGTAGTCATTGTGCAAATCTATCTACTTAATGATCTTCCTCTCTTTCACAACCTTCTACTTTTCCAACCATATCTTCTTCCAGAGACTAGTGCTTCCTGACTATGCCTGATGTATATAAGGAATTGCTTCACCATCCTTGCTTCTAAGGATCACTCTGGTTGCATTTTGTCCAAGACAGGTTGCTTTGCTCTTTTGGTTGTTAGGTGCCTTTGAGTGGAGTATGACTCATAGTAACCCTAACAACAACAGACTTGAGCTTGGTCCTATCCTGAGGCATCCTTCTTATCTCTATTTTGACACTCACCTTGTCAAGCCATCTCATGGCTCTTCCTCTCTTTCACTACCCCTCCACCTTTGCAAGCATTATTCTTAGAAATATGTTCAAAATATGAGAAATAAAGCTTCACTATCCTTTGCCTCCAACTTGCACTCTAGCTGCACTCCAATATTTTCACAAACGTCACAATTCAAAGGCATTAATTATTGTTGCTGTTTTTTTAGGTGCCACTGAGTTGAGTATGATTCCTAGAAACCCTCTCAGTGACAGATCTGAACTTCCTGTCCTATTCTGTGCCATCCTCATTATTTCAGACATACTTGAGCCCACTGCAGTAGTCACTATATCAATCCATCTGGTTGAGGGTCTTCCTCTCTTTTGCTGAGCATTTACCTTTCCAAACATGATGTCCCTCTCCAAGGAATAACCTCTCCTAATAACATGTCTAAAGTACGAGAGACAAAGCTTTGTCTGCTTTGCCTCCAAAGAGCATTCTCAGTGTACTTTCTTCATGTTTGTTCTTTTTGCAATCCATGGGATATTCAATTCTCTTCTCCATCATGACAACTCAAAAGTATCAATTCTTTTTCTGTCATCCTCATTCATTTTCCAGCTCTCAGATGCATAGCTAGTGATTGAAAAGACCATGGCCTGAATCAGATGCGCCTTAGTCCTCAAACTGACATTGCTGCTCCTCAGTAATTTTCAGAAGTGCCTAACTGTAGACTTTCCCATTGCAATATGTCTCCGGCGATCTCCTGACTGCTGGTATCAAGTGATTGATTGTGAATCCAAGTGACAGAAGTTGTTGACAATTTCAATCTTTTCCCCAACTATCATGGTGTTGTTTGTGGGTACAGTGGTGAGAAATTTTGTTTTATTGACATTGAGATGTAGTCCATATTCAAGGCTGTAGTCCTTGATCAACAACAAGGGCTTCAAGTCCTCCTCATTTTCAGCTAGGAAGGTTGTGTCATCTACATAATGCAGGTTGTTGATAAGTCTTCCTCTGATTCAGATGCCACATTCTTCTTCATAGAGTCCAGCTTCTCAAATTATTTGTTCAACATACAGATTGAATAAGTATAGAGAGAGAATAAAATCCTGATGTAGACCTTTCCGAACTTGCTGCAGAAGGTCAACGACTGTAGCCTTCAATAAGGATTGAAGCTCAATATCAAGAAAACAAAGATTCTTACCACTCAGCAGATTGGCAGCACCATGATAAATGATGAAGAGATTGAGATTGTTAACAGCTTCAGTTTGCATGGCTCAACAATCAACACCCTTGGTACCAGTAGCCAGGAAATTAAAAGACAAATTGCATTGGCAAAGTCCGCTGTCAGAGACCTCTCCAAAGTACTGAAGAGCAACGATGTCAGTCTGGAGACTAAGGTGCAGCTGATACAGGCCATGGTCTTTGCAATTACTTGCTAAGCATCAGAGAGCTGGACAATGACTAGGGATGATAGAAGGAGAATTGATGCCTTTGATCTGTGATGCTGGA